CCTCTTCGCACGATCTCCTCCATGTCATCCTTGAACGTCCCACACGCCGTTTCCCTTTCGGGGTCCATTCGAGCAATGGCCTGACGCCCGCGCGATGTCACTCAGTGGCCTCCTCAATGAGTGTCCAGTCCATCTCCATCCACTTTCTCCTGCATATTTGTTGGTTGGCTTGCTTTGTTTTTTCCCATAGTTCCTTGCTGTTGATTATTTCCGACCTTCCCATCCGGTCTTCAGTATAGAGCCAGTGAAGACAGTTGTTGTTGATAAAGGTCTGGTCTGCAACAAGCTGTTGAAAATATTCTTTGTGACCCGCCGGCCAAGTTTCTGATCCTTATAGAAGAACTGACTGACTTGACGTGGTTTGCATTGAAAATCCGACTGAATTTTGTTGTTGATGCTGGCTGAGTGACGAAGATTTTGAGATCGGTTTTAGGTTGATGAATGTGTTTCTCGCTCGCCTTCCCGATTCTCGCTCTATTTGACGTCCTCGTCCGTTCCTCTTGTAGTAGTTGAGACAATGCTCCCTAGATGGCAAGTGAATGAAGTAACTTCTTTCAAATCACTCCCGTTAATGATGATTGGGGCTGGATGTTGCTGTTGTTGTTGGCTGGTTATTTTCATAACTTCCGTCTTGTCTATGTTCACCTGGAGTCCTGTCTTCGCTGGCTGTTTCTTCGACCAGTTCGTCAGTCGGTTTCCGCTTGTAAGTCCTCGATTTTGTGACAGTGACATCAAACATAAATCATCCAGGCGCGAAATCCAGGTCATCTAGGTTCTTCGTGTCGGTCCAGGATGTCGCTCCTGGATATTCCTGTCTTCTCGTGTCCCACTGTCTGACGCACGATTCAGTCCATCACAATTAGGAATATCATTGGTGATAATAATAACCCTTGTCTGACTCCTGTGTTTACTCCAAACGCCTCGCTGAGTTTTCCGTTGTGGATCACTTGACATGTGCCGTTGTCGTACAGTTGTTGAATAAGGTTGATGAATATCTGGGGCACTGTACGCCGTAGTACTTGAGTAGTTTCCTAATTACTTCAGGGTCAACACTGTCTGTTGAAGGCCTTCTCAAAGTCTATAAAGTTGAGGTAGAGTTAGGTTTGATTGCCATTCCATGCTTTGTTCTGTGATGATGATGCGTAGAGTTTCAATTTGGTCAGAACATGATTTGCCTTTCCTGAATTCGGCTTGTTCTTGTCGGAGTTCCGTCTCCAGTGCGTCCTTTATTCTCACCTGGATGATGTGACTCAGGATTTTACTTGGCGTCGATGGAAGCATGATTCCTCACCATTTCTTGCAGAGTCCTAAGTCGCCCTCCTTTGGTAGTTTCACGATGTAACCTTTCCTCCAGTCAGTAGGCACCTTTCCCTTCCTCCAGACATTTCGCAATAATAGAGTCAGCATGTCTGCAGTGGTCTCTGGGTCCACTTTCACTGCTTCAGGGGGTATTCATCTAGTCCAGCTGCTTTTGCAGCCCACAGAATTTTGATTGCATCCAAGACTTCAGCTCTCGTCGGAGGATGGGTGTCAACTTGCAGACGTGTGCGCGCTGTTGTTGGTATTTCTGGACAGGTTGCAGGGGTGGTCAGTTCAAGTGTCCTTTGAAGTGATCCGCCCATTGTTTAATCCGTTTTTCTTCCTTGGTAATTGGGTTCCCTTGGCTGTCTTTTATAGGTTTCACTTGTGTCGATCTCTTCCCGGATAGACACTTGGTTATCTGATATAGTGTCCTCAGGTCCCTTTTGCCTGCTGCCTTCTCAGCTTCAGTGGCCATGTTGTCGTAGAATTGTCTATTGTCCTTCCTAGCACTCTTCTTCACTTCTTTGTCCAGTGCTGTGTAAGTTGAGCTCAGCGTCTCTTTCTCTTGCCCGTCTATGCATTGAATGATTTTCTCTTTCACCATTCTCCTTTCCTCTTTTAGTTTCCAAGTGTCCGTTGAGAGCCATTCCTTGTCTTGCCTTTTCTTTCTTCCTAAAACCGTTGAACACGTTTCGTTAAAAATCACCTTCAGAGAATTCCAGTGGTCTTCCACGCATGATGTTTCAGTGATGTCACGTAGTGTTTCCTGCTTTGCTCTGACAGTTGCAGTGAAAGTGCCCTTTGTGGTTGTTTCCTTCAGTAATTGAGTGTTGAACTTGCATTGTGGCCTATCCCCAGCCATCCTCGAGGCTTTTAGTACTGGAACAGACGACATACCATCTGTCATATACAAAAATGGTTGCACGGAAATGGTGGTCTTGTTACTTAGAATATTTACTCTGTCACTGGAAACTGGAACTTATCCTGAAGTGTGGAAAACCACATACATACTACCTAAGAACAAAGCAGGGGCCAAAACCAGTGTATGCAACTATAGACCTATTAATATAACACCGGTAATATCACGAACAATGGAGAAAGTGGTTAAAGACCAAGTGTCAGACAACTTACTAGAACATGAACATATCAATCTATCACAACACGGATTCCTCAAAAAGAGATCATGTGTGACTTGTCACATAGACTTTTTCAACGAAGTTACACGAAGCAGGGACAACAGAGAACTAGTAATTGTGCTACATTTCGATATAACAAAAGCCTTCGATAGAGTCCCCCATAATCTGCTAGTCTACAGGTTATGCTCACTAGGGATATGTGACCCTCTCCTGAGCTGGATAAAATCATTTCTCTGCGACAGGAATCAGATAACAAAAGTTGGCTCGATAATCTCAAGGCCTAAACCAGTAAGTAGTGGTGTAATCCAGGGAAGTGTATTAGGCCCACTCCTATTCATAATATATATAAACAGTGTCTGTGAATGCCTTAGTGTTGGTAAACCAATACTATATGCAGATGACTTAAAAGTGACCTATAAATGCAAGAACACAGATCTCGGAATAACATTAAACGCCATACAGCAAGAATTAGAAAAAATGGACAGATGGTGTGACACCTGGCAACTCCAGTTTAATATCGACAAATAATAATAATAGTATATTCTCATTTTGTACATGAGAGACGCCAGTTTACAGGCATCATCAATATGATAAATTACATATACGATTAGCAATCATAATTAATAATAATGTTTTAATAAAATACACATTTTTCCTACTTGTGTAGGACACACCAAATATTCAGGCATGGGTAAGCATTATTTAAATTTCATAAATTCGGTTTATGGTTAAGTTACATGGTTGCTAGCGTTTTTGTTTTAGGTCTGTGGGAACAATATGATAACCAGTCATTCAATGGAGCACATCATGAAATATAGGAATATTGTCTTCGCATTAACAAAAAAACCCAAGTAAGTTTTGGATGGATTAAAAATACTTGGGATAAAATAAAGCTTGAAGTAATTCCTCAATATAACTTGGGTGTGTACAAATGTGGCTGGCTCTGCATAGGTTGTAAAAATTTAGAACTTGACCTGACAATTCAAGGCCATGCACTCTTACGACTGGAATCTGTATTGGACCTAGGACTGAAATACTCACATGACTTATCATTTTCTGAACATATCTCCAAACAAGTGTCAAAGTCACGCAGACTTATCGGCTTTCTACTCAGGAACTTTTACAGAAATGAGTCCAGAATTCTGTTGTACAAGGTTTGTGTGCGTCCTTTATTTGATTACTGTTCATTCATGTATAGTAGTATACGCATAGAGGACAAATTGAAAGTCGAGGGAGTGCAGAGGTACTTCACGTCAAAATTACTCGGAACCGAAAATGGTGCGAACTACTCCACTAGATGTGACACCCTAGGATTAGAAACACTGTAGCTAAGACGCCTGAGACTAAACTTAACACTTTACTATAAGCTTCTAAACCACTTAGTTTTTACCTCTACTAATGGCATTCGACTTTCAGATGACAATGGCTACAAACTAAGACACACTAAGGGTACAGTAGCTATCGAACAATGTAAAACAGCTACCAGGCAAAAGTTTTATTTGATTAGGTATGCACAGATATGGAATAAACTACCAATGGAAATGCGTCAAGCAGGTACATTGGCCTCATTCAAAAAAGTGCTTAACGACAAACTACACGAGTTCGCAAACGACAGTAGTCCTAGTTCCTATCTGAGAGTCTCCGAAATTATAGGTCCATTTAATGTATAAGCTCAAATACTACACCTGTTGTTTTTGCCTATATTTATAATTTTAGATAAAACATTAACGATTAAGATGCTTACCCTCAAACAGACAAGAAGTTTCGTTCGTAAAACTTCTACCCAACACGACAAGTGGAATAAAATGGACATAAACCGACAACATGAAAAAGATATAACTCACCACAACATCACATGGACAGATGTACGCTCGTCGGACATCATATATGCCTCACCAACTACAACCCAACATTCCTGAGATAATGTGATGAACTTATATCCGTAATGTTGCTGAGCAGTCAATATCCACAACTCCTGTCGGAACAACTAAAATTCAAAAACCTTCCTCACGAGAAGTAAATACCCACAAGCAGTAGAAATCCATTAATTAATGCGTCTAAAGCTTATGTATTTTACTCCCAACAATGACATTGCAGATCAAATGAGATAAACATATCACTGATTTCAAAATAACACATCAATGAACTATAAATCAAGGATTCTGTACACAACAAAATTATGTATGAAAACTGACTTCAAGCTTTATTTTTTTTCCCAGGCACTTATAACCCATCCACCAAAGACCTGGTTATTTTGTTAATGCGAAGACAATACTTCTGTATTTCCTGATGTGTTGCACTCACTGACAATCTAGCGGATTTTTCCAACTATGCACAGAAATGATTGTACATAAGTGAAAAGGATGTTTTATACTATTCGGATTAACATTTATCAAGTGTATGTATAATCTCCAGTGTACATGTTAAACATATTTTGCTATCGACTGTAAATTGTGACTGAATAATATGGTCCTATTTCTGTAACAATTTGATGATGCCTGTAAACTGGCGTCCCTCATGTACTGTATCATGAGAATAAATTTATTTATTTATTTATTCCAGGTACCCATTCTTACTTTTGCTTTCATTGAAAGAAGGCACATCGGCTAAGTGGCTTCCCGAAGCCTTCACCAGCTTGCGTCTTTTCACCTCCTCGATTCCAGCAAAAGATAAGGCTATTGTTTATAATAATAATGATGTATTTCATACAAATTTTAAAAAAAATTTACATGAAATTGCATGCCCTTTTTTACAGGCACGATCAAGTGAGATATAGTTTCAAATCTCAGATTGTCTACAAGTTAATCATATTTCAACTGTTAAATATTTGATACATATAATACACTCATTGTCTGAACCAGACCGTATAGTTGTTGAATTGTACAATTGTCCTCCAGGTTGAGCGCGAAAATCGACTTTGTTTCGTTTTCATCCCGTGGTTGTAGGCATACGATAACCAACCAATATTGAGGTAACTACAACTTTTACAAGGGATTGAAGTCTGTTTTAGAAAAATTAAAGTGCTGAGGTGAATCATTAACTTGTAATGAAATAGGTAAGTGCAAGTATCATTAATAAATACATTTATAAAGGAAACTCCCTAGGCTGACAACGTTCATTTGCAATGTATAATGCTACACGTATATCTCGTACTGTCATGATGTCCACTTTTGGTTTTAATACATTTATCCTCAGTTGTGCCAGTTGTTTTTGTTTTATACCTTTTTGTGCATTTAGTGCACAACCGTACCCTTCAGAGAGTAGGAATATAATAAGTCATAAAGAGCTGTAAAATGTTAGGTTTAATGGGATATAATGAGGATCAAGTAAAGACGTTATTAGAAAATAAATGAGATAAGACTTTTTGAACTGGTATTTAAAGATCTGACAATGGATAGCAAGTTAATTTATAAGATGCCCCATAAATCTGTGCTTTTTAGAATTTTTAATATATTTATTTGTTGAAGTTTCTGTAGCGATTTGGTTGTCTTACAGGGGTGGAGTTGCTAGCACCACGCTTCAACCCTCCTTCTTTATCCGGGCTTGGGACCGGCTAGAATACTAGAAAGCTAGTAGCCTAGCAAGCTAGTGATCTGGTGGGGTTAATGTAATGTAATGCGAGGATAACGTAATATCCTCTGTAGACGAACCCGTAATCTCTCAGCAACAGTCTCAACCACGGAACTTGAATTCAATTCATCTACGCAATTAGGAGACAAGAGTATTTCTATATACCATTAAACCGTCCAAGAACTCTATGAGTTCCTCTGAATTATGGTTTAACTGTGATCCATTACCTTTCACGGTCTCAAAAATACTACGAGATATCTTAAGTGGTTTTCCAAACCTTTGACGTAGTATCCTCATAGTGTCTGTAAATCCTTCGTTCGGGGACATAAGTTTGCAGCACTGTATGGCTCTTGCAGCAACACCAATGCAATACCTCAACGAATACATTAACTCTATTTCGTCATTTAAAAAAAAGCCATTCAACACGACCTCAAACTCCTTCATAAACTGTAGGTAGTCGGCTGGGTTTCCATCAAAGTACCGCGTGAACATCAGACTCATCATGCATATCATTACAATTGACATGCAACTAGTCGTTACTAATTTTTTGTCTGATTCCACATTGCCACGTTCCTTTCTTGGCCCAGGCATTATCCAACGTAACCAAAGAATCCAAATTGCGTTGATAATCCGTGTGCAAAGAGATGCTGGCCGTAGACCCAGTAAGTAACCCCGGAAGTTCCAGAAGGCGCTCCAGGAAACGAATAAAAACTGTCAAGGAAATTACTACTAAATTCAAATTAATAATAATAATTTATATTTTCATATAAACAGATAAATTTACATGAAAATGCATGCCATTTTTACAGGCACGACCAAGTATGATATAATGTCAAATATTAGATTGTCTACAACTTAGTTATGGTTCAACAGTTAAATATTTGATATATATATATAAATACACTCATTGTCTGAACCAAGCCGTGTAGTCATTGAACTGTACAGTTGTGCTCCAGGTTTCGCGGGAAAATCGGCTTCGATTCGTTTTCATCTCGTGGTTGTAAGCATACGGCAACCAACCAATGCTGAGGTAAGTACAACGTTGAAAAGGTATTGAAAGCTGTTTTAGAAAAGTTAAAGTGCTAAGGTGAATCAATAAAGTGTAATAAAATAAGTGAGTATAATATATCATTAATAAATACATTTATATAGGAAATAGAATGGGAAAGTAATTAATCCCTAGGCCGATAACGTTCATTTGCAATGTATAATGCTACCCATATAGTTCGTACTATCATGATGTCCACCTTTGATTTTAATACATTTATTCTCATGCCGTTTTTTCTTTTATACCTTCTTGTCTCTTTGGTGCACAACCGTACCCTACAAAGAATAGGAATAGAATAAGTCGAATCAAATTCATAAAGAGCTATGAAATGTTAGGTTTAATGGAATATCATGGGGATCAAATAAAGAGGTTATTATAAAATAAATGAGATAAGACGTTGTGAAGTGGTATTTATAGATCCGACAATGAATAGCAAGTTAATTTGTAAGAAGCCCCATAAATCTGTGCAGAGCCCGTGTGGTCGCATCTCAACAATAGGCTGAGCGAATGGTATATGTTTAAAGGCAGAAGCATGATCTGTCTAGACGTTCATTATTATCATTTTCAAGATAAAGATCTAAGCCATCAGAAAAATCTCGAGCCGTCAAATTGCATATTGCTATTCCTGCAGAATGGGGCGATTCACCTTGATGACTACCACCATATCTACTGACTAGATAGCGCCACCCTCCCTGTCAATGGAGATGAAGATTGAACGATCAATTCTTGGTTGTTTGCTGAAAATCAACTTCCCCAATTTTCGCGGAGGCATAAATACGACAGTCATCGTCTCATCGGTCGCTGTTCAGAAAGAAGAGTGAAACATCGTCAGAAGTAATCTTATGATTTATTATTGTAATATTTGTTCACAAACCTTAGTTCAGTTATTATTTTTATATGTTGGTGTAACAATAAATAAATTTCAAGCGGCCAATCGGTGTTTTGGTTTTTTCGTCCGTTATAACTAAGCGTTTCTGAAAACTTCAAGGAACAGCGTGGGCCCGAGCGTAGCAAGAGCTGGGCATTAATGGTTTATGAGACGTGATTGACACTCCCTCCTTTGTTAAGAAGACGCTCCGAACCGATAAATACTACGACTGATTCTCGACTTAAACTACAAAACACTAGTGGTTGGAAGAAGGAAGCTGTATTATTTTGCAATTAAAATCGGGGGTTGATAAATTGTCTGTAAGCAAATGTTTTATACAAAATACAAAGTACTTTTATTCGTTTTCGTTCGTCTTCTACGAGCATGTAGACGATTGAACCATTGGCGCCTTCGAGTTGCCCAACAATGGTGACCAAGTCCAATGAACCAGTGTTCAAATTTCATTGGCACCATTATTGATGCATAGGTTTCAAATGAATATTCCATTTCGACGCAGTTCTTGTGTCGTCACAAGATATTCCAGCCTTCGTTTAAGGCTGTCCACAGAAGATTACGTGGCTTAACCTGACTATAAGTAGTTCCAGGGACGGCAAAATTGCAGTGAAAAGAAGTGGGAGCGCATTTGGTTCTATACTTTCTGGTGAGCTATACTTCTGGGGTTTCCACGAGGAAGCCCTTACCTACACAATGGCAGAACACCATTGTATGGGTTATTCTGGTCATTGTTATGTTGTAGGCAGTAATCAAGTCCCCCATAAACCGACAGTAGCTAAATGTGAAAGGGCCAAATTTCTTTAGCCTTTCATCATACGGCTTATTTAGGAGACCAACTTCTTTTTGTCGCCCGTCTTTGGACTCTTTCCCAGAGGCTGGCATCTCTTCTGAGCACTGAGGATGCAATGATATCATGCACTTCAAGGTGTGATGTGACACATGTTTTGTAAAGCTTTGGAAAGAGCTACGGAGTGAATACACCTAAATGTCTGTGTAAAGTGTATAACAACATATTTCCCCGCTACATCACCCGTGCAATTTACGCTTGTGTCCATTTTTTCCGTTGAAACTAGACCTAAGTCACGCTCCTACGTTCATCAGGGTAAGCTTGTTGCGTGCGTTATTTGACTAAACTGCTGTACACGTATATTCTAGTATTTCTTCGTTCTTATTAATGTGCGCAGACGTTGTGGCTACTCGATGCCCACAACGTAAATCAAAAGGCACTTGCGAAGAGTACGAATGTGTATTGTAGCAGTAGTCAAATTCGAAATTGTGTCAAGGTAATGTTCAACAGTAAATTGACAAATGTTTGTGAAGTACATATAAAATCGGTCTGTATACACATATAATACAAGTATACAAATTAGATTAAAAAGCATATTTACAGTTGGTATAGGGGTACTACATAACTCCCCCACCAGAACACTGAAATATAAAACAATACATTTAAGTGTTCGAAAATAACATACGTCAGCGTAATACGTAGCAGCGATAGTACACAGAAGGCGATTTATTAAGCTGAAAAATGGGCAGTTTAAAGCGGTTAATAACATCGATTATAAATGCGATAATCTAAGGAAAGTTGGGGTGCTAATCGTAATAGAATATATAAGGAAAGATAAAATCGGCCGAGGATCTGTAGTCTGTAGACGAGAACGATAAGTGCATTATAAGCGAGATGTGATTAAATGTAATAATATAGGAAATATCGATGTTAAAATAATAGTGACGTGATTTATGTATGAAAATATTAATCAGTGAAATGAGTAATCAAATGACAATTATGAATAAAGGTAATAAAAATGCGAATTCGTAGTAAGTTATATTTCGATGACTTGCACGTAACGTTTAGGCCAACGGACTCGTCTACCAGATCGCGTTGTTTTCACAGGTTTCTCTGTCGACGTTGAAACTTGTGTTGATGTAGGTGTTGGCACATCGTTCAGCTGGTCCTTATCGCTGACTTCGAAATCGTCGAGGAACGCTGGTTTGACTCTTTGACAGGACAAGCGATTTCGTGTCCATTTCTTAACGTCGCTGTTAATGTTCAGCCAGATAAATCTTTTTCTTAGTAGCTTGGTAGGCGCGCTCACATCAGTATGCAACAAGTTATGTAACTTCTCGAATACTGTGTATCTCATAGCTGTTGGAACGAAAGGTCGATATTTACCCGAAGAGGTGTCGCAGATAACTTTTGTCGTGCCAAAAGGGATTGCCTCGAGGTTTAGAGGTATTGTTTTAGAAGACATGATCTTTTTGAGTTCGACGTCCTCTCGTTGTAAGTTTGAGAGATGTTCGTAGTCGATGTCTGGGCATACAATGTTATCAATGTGCATACGTGGCAAAGCGTCTGCCACTTCATTGTTTTTACCCTTGACTTGTCGCAGATCAGAGTTGACTTGGGATATATACTCGAGATGTCGTATTTCGCGTGGAGAGTAATTAACCTGCTTTGCTGATAAAGCTTTCATTGGAGCTTTATGGTCTGTTGATCGGAAAGACGGTTGTAGAATGTCAGGAAACTGACCTGCCGAGTCGGTATATGGAGGTGCTGGTGTGCGTGTGACCATCAAGTTCAACGATGATGCACGGTTAATCTTACCAGCGATGTACTTTTTATTGAGCGAATCTATAAGCTTAGGGCTTACCGGATCAACCAGCAGTTTGTGCTGCTGTAGGAAATCTATACCAAGGATTGGGGATGGAACGTCTGCGATGATGAAAGACCAATTGTAGGTATTCTGCAGACCAAAATCTAAAGTCATTCGTTTACTACCATATTTAACAATATTAGACTTATTATAATAATAATAATAATAATAATAATAATTTATTTTCATATAAACATAAATTTACATGAAAATGCATGCCATTTTTACAGGCACGATCAAGGATGATATAATGTCAAATCTTAAATTGTCTACAAGTTAATAATGTTTCAACAGTTAAATATTTGATATATATATAAATACACATTGTCTGAACTAGGCTGTATAGTTATTGAATTGTACAATTGTCCTCCAGGTTGAGCGGGAAAATCGACTTCGTTTCGTTTTCATCCCGTGGTTGTAGGCATACGATAATCAACCAATATTGAGGTAAGTACAACGTTTACAAGGAATTGGAAGCTTTTTTAGAAAAATTAAAGTGCTGTGGTGTAACATTAAAGTGTAATAGATTAAGTGAGTGAAATATATCATTAATAAACACATTTATATAGAAAACAGAATGGGGAAGTAATTAATCCTTAGGCCGACAACGTTCATTTGCAATGTATAATGAAACCAATATATTTTATACTATCATGCGTTCACTTTTGGCTTTAATACAATTATTTTCAAGCCAGTTGTCTTTATTTCATGTCTTTTTTTCTATTTGGTGCACAACCGTACCCTCCAGAGAATAGGAATAGAATAAGTCGAATCAAATTCATAAAGAGCTATAAAATGTTAGGTTTAATGGAATATAATGAGAATCAAGTAAAGACGTTATTAGAAAATAAGTGAGACAAGATATTGTGAAGTGGTATTTAAAGATCTGACAATGGATAGCAAGTTAATTCATAAGATGCCCCATAAATCTGTGCAGATCCCACGTGGTCGCATCTCAACAATAGGCTGAGCGAATGGTATATATTTAAAGGTAGAAGCATTATCTGTCAAGGCGTTCACTATTATCTTTTTCAAGATAAAGATCTAAGCCCTCATAAAAATCAGAAATATCTCGAGCCTTTAATTTGTATATTGCTGTTCCTGCAGAATGGGGCGATTCACCTTAGTGACCACCACCATATCTACTGATCAGCTAACGCCACCCTCCCTCCTTTTTTGATGTTAGGCTCTGAGACTATGATTATTATGGCTACCGCAAATATATTGCTTGGTACCAGACATGTTCGTACCCCATATTCCATCTCCCTAGCTTTCTTAATGAGTGCTTCCAATAGGTCTCCACGTACATCTTTACGAACATATTATATATGTGTGCATGCATCCTGATGAACAGATTACTTTATAAGAAGTTAAAACCTTAAAGAGTAAAACGAATAGGTATTGTGAATAGTGGAGCAAGATTTAGCAGAATACTATAGTTAAGGTTCAATTTAGGTAGTATGGACTGAAGGTAAGGTCGGTTGGCAGGACTTAGTGTACTAAATTTTCATGACAGTCTTATATATAGTAAACATCTGACATTGCAAAGTAACGTGTCTAGACATATTATAAAAAGATATTAACACAGAACCAACGAAATTTTGGCGTTTTTTAACAATACTGCAGTGTGTGTATACTGAAGAATGGTGGTTAGTCTACAGGGAGCCGTAGAGTAAATCAAACCATATATGATAAGAGTATAATCAATAATATAGTTCGTATATCAAATATTACACTAGGTTCAATAATTGAGTGTTATAAGGGAAACAAGCGTGGTAAAGCAAGAGAACATTTGATGCATAAATATTTTAAGTATTTTAATATCCATCTAATTTAAGAGTTGAACATGCATGATTAATAAGTATTGTTATATTAGTATATACATATGTAAAACGTTAAAAGGTGTGGATGCTATTACAATTATTTCCAGTGTTACTTTCACCAACACAACTTAGTGAAAATTATAGAGAATAGAAATCAGTAAATTAGTTAACGTTCGCTGCGTGAGTATTAGAGTCGAGATATACGTATGTGACTATACTGAAGACTGGACTGGCCTTCAATTTCCGTTCTACCAACAGTTGTGGTCTTTTAGACGAGCTAGGGTGGACATGTTAAAGTGTCTTTCTAGGCTCCGTTTGAACCCATCAGGGTTTTCACAACATCTTATTTCAGGTGGTAGTTGGTTCCAAAGAGTGCAATATTTTATGGTGAAAAAGTTTGCCCTAATGGATTTTCTGTGGGTAGCCACCTTGACAAGGTAGTCGTGGTTTCGCAGCTGATATGATTTAATATTTTCCCAAGTTATGGATGAGTTACTGTAGCAGTGTTTCCTAATGACTTTGAAGAGTAGAAATAGGTTGCACTTCACTCTCCTTAACCACAGAGGCTCTAATTTCAGACGTACACACCTGTCAACATATTCCACTTGTTGGTCGAACCCTATTATGCGTTTCGTGAGGAATCTCTGGACACTTTCGATTTTTTTTCTGTCTACAGTCCTGAGGTTACTAAATAGGAGAGCACAATATTCAAGTTTGGGACGGATACATGTCCTATATATAGCTAATCTTGCTTCTTGGGTGTAGAAGTTACGCAGTACAAAGCCAGTAAGTCGTTTACAGTCAGATACAACCTTATTTGCGTGATCGGAAAAGGATAAATCTGAGTATGTTATCCCGAGGTCTGTGACTGTGTTCAGTTTTGACAGGAGCTTCCCGTACATGTATAGGCACATTATCGGTTTCCAGCGTCCAAGGTGGGTTATACCGCACTTGTCTGGGTTGAAAGTCAGTTGCCACTTTTCGCTCCAATCGCCTAGATCATTTAAGTCTTGTTGGATCTTGCTTTCGACGCTCATATCACCGTACCCATAATCATATACTATCTTGAGATCATCTGCAAAAAGGTATGGCTTGCCATACTTGATTACAGAGACTATGTATATTAACGGCTTGGAGCGTAACTGCAGGGTCAGGATGTTGACGTTCCTGCGTAGACGGAGGGAGAACACTAACCTCTGCTCCCGTGTCGACTAAGAATGTAGTACCGGTATTTCTATCTGTCACATAAAACAAACGAGTGCTAGATCGCAGATTGCCAACAGTAGAAGTTTTCATACATGACGATATATCTTTTGGTTTAGCCAGAAAGTTACATGGTGAACGACACCGTCGTGCATTGCTTCCGTAACTACGGTGGTACCAGCAAATATTATCTTGATGTCGTGACGTGCTGGGTGACCGAGAAAGACGTCGACGAGACGAGCTTCTAGAACGGCTTGGTCGTGTGCATGTGGTCAGTGCTGCTAACTGACTCAGTAAGGTGTCGACTTTGTGTTCTAGAGTCTGTATCCTATCGTGGGTGTCTGGTATTCTGCTAGTGGAAGCAACAGATTGAGGTGTTGACCTCTCGTACATGCGATCCGCAATTTTGGGGAGCTTTTCCATGTCAATGTCGTTGTCTCCGAAAGCAAGAACTTGCTGAATGTTTGCAGGCAGTCGTCGCAGCCAGATTTGGTAAAAGAGACGTTTGTCGATATCTCTTCCTGCTACTAGGCTTTGCATATGCCTCATGACTTGTGATGGGGTTTTATCACCTAGCTCTACATTGCTTAACAAACGATCGAGTGCTTGCCTATCTGAAAGTGAAGTGCATCGAAGTACCTCTTCCTTTAACTTGTCGTAAGGAGCGTCTGTGCTGGGTTGAATTATGTATTGTCGAACCTGTTCAGCGATTTCGTCTGGTAGTACTGTACTCAAAATGCTGAATTTAGCCGTCTGTGACGTGAGCTTATTGGCAGTGAAATAACGTTCCAGTCGTGCAAACCAAAGACGGAGGTCTCTGGGCTTAAAAACTGGTACAGTAAGAGAATAAGTACTAACAGATCCCAGCTCTAAGTTATAAGATTTATTGGAAGACATGTTACAATTCGTAGAAAAATAGTTTAAGAGTAACAAAATAAAAAAATTATGCACACTAAGAATATGGCAAAACAGAAAAACATGCAATGCAGATGCTTACCACAGAATACTGCAAGTTGTGCGATAAGAAAGCGCAAAAATGAGTTCGAAATTTCAATTATATGGATATATATAGATCCGATAAATTTAGAGTTTAAATAATCCAGCAAGTATAATGGTGCGTCGCTGTAAACAAGTTATCGTCGAGAACACCAATTTGTCATCGCTGCCGAAATTTTGTCGTCGGGGTCGAAATATCACGTCGGGCTCACCAATTTGTTGCGTGCGTTATTTGACTAAACTGCTGTACACGTATATTCTAGTATTTCTTCGTTCTTATTAATGTGCGCAGACGTTGTGGCTACTCGATGCCCACAACGTAAATCAAAAGGCACTTGCGAAGAGTACGAATGTGTATTGTAGCAGTAGTCAAATTCGAAATTGTGTCAAGGTAATGTTCAACAGTAAATTGACAAATGTTTGTGAAGTACATATAAAATCGGTCTGTATACACATATAATACAAGTATACAAATTAGATTAAAAAGCATATTTACAGTTGGTATAGGGGTACTACAAGCCTTCGTTGCATAGGGTGTAACTTGCACTCAGCAGTCTATGGGTGCATAGTTTCACTACTTTGCTTTTTTCAGGTTGAAAGTCATGTGACTGGCCACCGCCCAGTCTTTTCGAAGCTTTAGGTCTTCCTGTAGCCTATCTCAGCCTCCCAAACAATTTATTGCCCTCCATATCTTTACGTTGTCAGCGTATAGAATAGTCGGGCAGCTTAGACGGTATGCTTGATCATTGATAAAAATCACAAGCATCAGTTGTCCTAGGATAAAACTCTGCGACACTCCTGATGACGAGCCGCGCCAAGATTATCGGACTCGATTGACCTTAGTGCAAAATTTCCTCTCAGCTAGGTAGCCCTTCAACCATGATGGAAGCGGCTCACCTATACATGCCTGACCTATTATGTGTAGGAGAAGGTCATGGTGAACTGAGTCAAATGCCTTCTCAAAGTCTAGGAAGACAACATGGACCGGAACATTCATATCCTAGCATGATGTCCAATCGACTCAAGCTGATAGTAGGTTTTTACATAAGATCTGTCTTTTCTGAAACCGTGTTGGGCTTCATGGAGTATATTAGACATATAGAGGTAATCCCTGATGTGATCGTCTATAATACTAATATAATCATATTGATGACTCCTGAAAAAACTGGCGTCCCTCATGTGCAAAAATTGAGAATATATTATTATTGTTGTTAGTAGGCAATTCATCAAGCCGATCGGAAGAGTCTAACTAGTGGTGCCACCAACAGGCTTTCACTTCCTGCCAGCTTCGTCTTAGGGTCCCCAAAGCCCACCGGGGGGAAGTGAGCTGTAGCAGTGAGCAATTTCACAGAATTATTAGCCACAACATTCATCACTGAACATTGGGTGCTGACCCTCACTGTTTTATTCAACCTGTTTGGCGGAAGGCTCACAGTCAAGCATCCACGCCATCATGTTACGATCGTTTGTTTGTAGACGATCCCTAGCCAGTTAATCAGTCAACCTTGCGCTAGTATTCTGTCCCTAAATATAGTTCGTAATTTGGACGATCAATCCCGTCGTTTCGCTTTGTCTTCGGTCCACGAACGGATGCTATAGAAGTTGTGTGTATTAGATCTTGCGTTAGCATACTTCTAACCAACCGTGAACGTCAATACCCTCATCCCCTGAAAGTTATATTTGGTTTTTGATTTTTCATCTGGTGAAAAGGTAGTCATCACTTCGGCTGTTCCTGTGCTTGTGCATACTGCTTGCATTCACCAAATTGCTGAAAGCACAGATGTCAGCCAACTCTCAGAAACTGTCAATGTCCAGCTCTTATTACGCTGTCGCTCGAAGACTTTCAGAAACAATTTGTAATAACCAACGCCAAAAACCAGAACACAGATTGGTGACTTGAGAATCTTTTATTCTTACGCCAATATGTAACCAACAATAAGGTTATTACACACAGGGTCTAAGAATAAATGTTATAACAATAAATCACGATAATACTTCTGATAGTTTACGATCTTCCACTGAACAGCAAACGATGATCGATGAATTGATGACTCCCGTGAAAATAGGGAGTCGGGTTTGAGCAAACGGCCATGGATTGATCGTTCAATCTTCAACTGCATTGACAACAGATATTCTTGAACACTTCCTTCTCCTCGTTCACCGAGCGCCCCTCCATGGATGATAATTTGTGCTCCTGTATTTTTTTGCAGTCATTTCACTCCCCAGAATTTCGATATTAGGCTTTGTGGTTTCGCCCACTAATTCTCCTATTTAATTTTTCTGTTGAAATCTTAAATCTTTTCTATC